CTATAATTAAACCGCTCACGCATGACTTGCATGTAAAGGTAGAAGGATAATCAGAGATCAGATTACCATTGTTCTTGTTGTTTTTCTATAATCTTTTTGTGGCCTTTTGTTTTCCTCGTATCTCACACACCAATGGTGTGTGAGATATGAGGGCTGACCATCAGTATAAAAGTTCATTATTTAACTGTGTGACGATGCTGTGAAGTAAGCTCACTGTAGATGACAGACGCTCACTTTAATAATCATGCATTGTTTTGTCATATTTCTGCTGGTTGATATTGTCCTTTAGCCTCCTTTGTTGTGTGTTGAGCTCTCACTTTATTCTCACTGCACAGTTTACTTCCTGTGTTGTTTCCATCAGCGCCCACTCTCTTGTTTTACTTACTGGAGGACCTTCAGTAGTAAACCCCCACATTTCACCTTCAACAGTGAAAGTTACAAGAAGACTTTGTGTCTTATGTCAGTGCTCTGTCTATATATTGCAACACCTTCCTCTCAGCATGTCACATCTGATTTATCAGACATAAAATATCTTTCACTTCAAATTTGTTGGAAAAAACTAATTTAGAGGAAACAACCTTTAAAATATGTTTTGTAAAATTACAGACATTTAGCAGACACTACAGGTGAATAGAGAGAACAAAACTAATACATATCACCATGAAACTTCACCGGTTGATTTCTGACATTAAGACTTTTTTTTTTATTGTATTACAAGTTTTCGGAAATGTTATGTTTTAAAATGCAAATGAGGCATAATCTAAGGGGAACCTTTGGTGAATTTAACAGAAATCTACAGACACAAATAGACAAAGTAGTAGAATAAACACCTGAATGTGTCTCCACTAGTCAGACAGAAAACATGTTATGGAAGTATAACAGCACAAAATCTCCAAATTGACCAGAGCATGAAGAAACACAGTGTTACCAGAGAGCTTGAGTCAAAGCTATGCTCACTCTGATATCACCGTGACAGCGGAGTGGAAGAAGTTCATTTTTAAATCTCTTACTTTTCCTCATCATTCTTCTTTTATTCTTAGATTCATTTTTTTTAATTTAAAACATATATATATCTTTTATTTATACCTTACTTCATTTACATTTCGTTTGAGAGCATTTTATTTGAGGGCGGATCGCTCCTCTGAGACTGTGGTGTGTTTGACGTGGCGACCAGCTGCTGAGTCCAGTCAGTTCAGTCGAGTCTTCAATCAGTCAGCCGTAACTCCTCACGGAGCAGTCGTCACAGCGCTCTGACTGTTCCTCTGATATGACTGTTGGCTCGGACAATAGAGCGTAAATTACAGAAAGAAAAGGCAGAAATTAAACAATCTCACTTTTACGTGCAAAGTGAACGCTTACTGTAGACTCTCATGTGATATTACTGTGGGTGTGTGCAGGAGTGCGAAGTAACCAGCTGCAAACAGCTGCAGTTACCTGAGCAGAACATTAAGTATTAATTAAAGAATAAGGCTGGTGATATTCTATATTAGTCTTATTGTTAACAAATCCATGAAAAGAACAAAATGTATCCTACTAACATGTGTGTGTATATATATATAGTCTATTTTGTTTTCTCACATTTGTGCACTTCATCACCATGAACACACACACTGTCGTTTGTTTTGGGTCAAACCCACGTACACCGTCCTGCTGCTGCAAATACAGATGTGTATTAATACGCAGCTGAAAATTGTACAAATGCACTTTTTATTCCTGCAATGTTTGCTGAAAACTACAATATCCAGCTGTTTTGGGAGACTATGACACATTTTTTTGAAATGAACATCTAAAGTAGGAACCAATGGGCCGGGTGCACCGAGAGACATTGTTGTTGTTTTGTTTGCTTTCGTGGGATTTGTTACAGAATAATGGCCTCATCTTTCTCAAGTAAATTCTGTTTACTTCCATTTCTATTTTTGTCTATAAAATATCACATTTCAGTTTTGATTTCCAAGCTTAACATTGCTTAAATCCCGAGCTTTTGCTATTACAGTTGCTGTAAAAAAAAGCTACCTTCTGAAGTAATTTGTTGCTTTTTGTTATTAAAAGCACCGTGTGTTTACTCTTCAGATGACTGAAGGCGAGAGTGTGAGTCACTCAGCTTAAAAGCAGCACGAGGAAAACAGAGAAACTGTACCAGAAATGAAATGTGCTGAATAATAAGACATAAATAGACAGTCATATTAGGCGCAGCTTTTATAATCTGTAGTTTTGCACTATAAAGAAAACGTTTGCTATTGCTGTTTGCTCTGAACATAAGTAACAGTTTTCCTGCACTTGAGCAGAATTTGTCAGCACTCATTACCGCTCTTACTGTAACAAAGCACGACACAGTTTCTTCTGGTCTTGGGCTCTTTTATGTACACCACACAGGCTGCTTGTCAAGTCATTTAAAGGCTCAGATGCTACAGCACTTTCACTCTCAGTGGTTACAACCACCACAGCACATTATCAACGCAAAGGAGTACTATTTTCACTCGCCTGGTCTCGTTTTAACGTGCACGCGTTCCGATAACGAGCTCCTACCGAGCCGGGTTTGACTCAGACGGTTTCCAGTTTAGGTCGTTTCCCGAGACGCCGACATGGAGACCGTGAGATAGTTGCTTTAGCTGTCATTAGACGGCCGCTTTAAAAGGGGCATTCCAAAGAAAACAGCCCCATTACTGCTGCTAATTCTCCCCTTTTAGGTTTCCCAACAACAAAACAGGGCTGCAAAAAAACAAAAACACGAGTCACAGAAACCAGCGTCGCGTTTCCGTCACATTCAAGTGCGACGGATTAACGGTGAAAATGTTCAGGATTTCTGCTTTGATGTTGGCCAATGGTCATTTCAGGGAAGTTCACCATCTCTGTATCAGCAGATGTATTAACACTCATTATTATTTATTATAAATGCTTTAATGGGGCGAATCTGTTGAGTTGATCTGAGATTTAATCCAAAGCCATTCATTTTGACTTTCCTCCTGTACAATGTTAACAGAGACGGATACATCTATACTAGCCTCAGGGCCCACTCAGCCTCGTGATCGCCCTCTGGCAACACCACTAAACGGCCTTTATTGGTGCGCTGAAGTATATTGAAACTTCACTGCTATGAATATGTAATATTTTCTCTTTTCTGTATTTCATGATCCATTTCAAAGCTCGCTGTGAAAGTAGCACATTGCTACAAGCTACTAAATGTCCTACCGAGAGCCGATACGGTGTCCTGAACATGGGACTCAACCCTGAAAATGTAACTATTAAATGAGTGTAGTTTGTGGCCTTTTTTGACTGTTGACACTGAGCTGCACAAAAGATGATTCAGGATCAAAAATGCCTGACCAAAAGAGAAGAGCTGTGCACTCATGTGTAGTGTGGTGAGTGTGGAGTGTGTGTGTTTGGTCCCGCGGTGCTGTTGTCAGTGTGAACACAGCCTGAGGGTGAACCCTGTGTTTTGCGATGAGAGGGATGTACCCTGATGGAGACCTCTATATGTTGGACCTTGTTCATGTGTCAGTCTCAATGATATAACCACATGATGAAGCATAGTTTCTTTGTACTTCTGTGTGAATTAAATACTTGACGAATGAAAAGTAGAGAATATTTTCTCACTTAGTTCAGAACTAAAGTGCCAAATGATCAGATTTTTGGAGACATATGAGTCCATTGAAAGACGATCATTTATATTATTGAATTATTGACCAGCCCTCGTTTGAATACAAGTCGGCGCGTTAGGTCTCGTGTAATATCTGGTCGGCAAACTGTTACTGTTTTCGTTGGAGACAAATTAGATTCATGCACTAGCAATGACATTTAAAAAATGTGATTTCTTTTGCATCAATTATCCTGCTACGTCAAAAAATGATCTAAAGCTTCAACTTGTGTTTTTTTGGATGGCTGAAGACTTAATTTGTTCTCACAAGCCACGTTATTAAAATAGAAAATACATGCAATAAAGGGTAGATAGATGTGTGTGACGGATGAACAGAAAGAGAAGAAGACAAGAATGAATGAAGGAGAGATCATAAACGTAGTTGGGGGGAGAGCAGGAGAAGTCTGGTGAAGAGGGAGAAGTACGAGAGGAGAGGTGAGGAGGAAGACAGAGAGTAGGAGGAGTAACAAAGGATGAGGGAGGAAAGGCGTGGCGGGACAAGACTGGGGGGGGGGGGGGGGGAGGAAGGACCGGAGTGGTGAGACGGGTTGACTGACTCAAGTCACATTCCTGTCGTCCAGATTTATGGTGGCTCGGGGTCCTGAAACAGGCCCGGAGCCGCAGCCAAATTACAGTCATCAAGAGCATTCCTCTGCTGCAAACACAGGTTAGCAGCCAGGCTGTGCTAAGTGCTAGGTGCTGCCTGTTGACAAATGACTTCCTTTGAAGGGCACAAAGAGAGAGAGACACATTTAATATGTGAGGGGGGCCCCAGAGCCACGCTGTCTGCGCTTCTTTTCTTGGAAAACATCTCGGCTAAAAGTAGAAATGAAGAAACATGAGCTGGTTTGTTTGTGAGCATGTTTGTCTGTCGGTCTACCAGTATATCTGTGTGTGTGTGTGTGTGTGTGTGTGTGTGTGTGTGTGTGTGTGTGTATTAAATAATATGTGGGAACTTAAAGTGGCAATCGTTAAGATTTCTGTCCTGGTTGATTTAGAGTTTCTATTTGAGCACGACTCCATTGTTTTCACTCAGTCTTTTTAGGCTGCATTCATAAATAGTCACTCCGAGCGCCGGAGCACACTGTTACTAAAACTAGACTCCTTCGTTCCCTGTGTGCCGGACTATTTAATTGAATTTAATTGAATTCACGAACGCACCCATGTTTGATACGTGAGCTTCAAGTTTTCATAATTATGTGCCTAGTTTCATTGTTTTGTATGTATGCAATGGAGAAAAACTGTAATGCAGCATTTATTTCCCTGAGACACCCAGTCCGTAATATATTATATATAGTATATAAATATTGCAGTACTTTCATGAGTTGGTCATAAGCCCGATCACAGTTGTGTCACCTCCTTCGGCCTGAACAGACATTTGTTTAAAGCCACTACGAATAACTTTCATTTTGTGATAGTGACGGTGTTTCCTTTAGAAAACCTCTCATTTCACTCTCAGCCTGCTATGGGCAGTCTTGGTTCTGGTTCTCCCGTACCCCCCCGGTGGAGGGTCCCACGCACACACACACACACACACACACACACACACAGTATATGTCACACTAACACATGCACACTCTCACAGATACAGTGTGACAGGATGGGAACAGAAGTGTGTGACCTGCGTTAAGGGTTTCTTTGTGTTTTAATACCAGGTTCCCAGACTACTAATAGCGCTAATAGCCCATCAGACCCGGGGCCGCTGACCTAATGAGTGTGTGTGTGTGTGTGTGTGTGTGTGCGTGTGTTTAACAGACAAAAAGACAGAGACATGCCAGCATTTATTTAGTGTGTCTGTACTTATGACGTCTTTAGTGACTAAATGCAAGAGACAAACGGTGTTAATGTGTGTGTGTGTGTGTGTGTGTGTGTGTGTGTGTGTGTGTGTGTGTCCTCCAGGAGTTCACAGGCACCAGTCCCAGGACCTCTCAGGGTACTACTCCCTCCCTCCAGGCGGCGTCGGCCAGATCCCTCCCTCCATGGGCTGGTGAGTCTCTCACACACACACACACACACACATCTGTACATGCTCAGTCCTTTTGTGTACTTGTGATGACCTTGTTTGTTGTATAACTCACAATCTCATCTAACATTAAAGGAAAACATCAGGTCTGTCCCACATGATGAGAGCTGAAACTCTTAGTAGTCGATTAGTCGATAGGAAGAAAATTAATCGGCAACTAATTTTATAATAAGTCTTTTTTTTTTATCAAAACAGCCCTAAATCCACCGGCTCCAGCCTCTAAATGTTTAGATTCTCCTGGTTTTCTTCGTCTTCTGTGATGGTAAACTGAATCTCTTTGCATTTTGGACCGCTGGTCAGAAAAACAAAGAAATCAAATGTGTCAACTTGCACTTTGGGAAATTGTGATGAGATTTTTAGTTCATTTTTTTTAATATTTTAGTAACAAAACATTTAATCGATTGAATGAAAAAAACAAAACAGCAGTTCAATCAATAATGAAGATGATCGTTTGTTCCAGACCTACAAACGTTCTGCACCATTAACCCAAAACCCTCAAACAAAAAGCCTTCTGCTAATCTTCACAACTCACCTTTACCTTCCTAAACACCATCATCATCATCATCATCATCATTACGTATGCACACACACACACACACACACACACACACTCTGACCCGGGTCAGTGTTACATACATCACTGCCTCACCTGGTGTCAGCGTGGCTAACCCAAGGCCCCGGTGGCATAGAAACCACCTCCTTTGATCCTCCGTGTTTAGAACGACCGACCTGTGGACTAAACGGAATGTGCACGACTGCAACATTTGAGAAAGAAATAGTGCCGAGTCACAAACTCTAAGGAAAAGTTATGCAATATCACATCTGAATATGCTACTTTCAGTGTTCCCTTGAGATGTGGTGCATTGTGGGAAATGCTGGCAGGTCCAGGTAGATGAATAAACCAGCAAAGACACAGAGAAAGGTGAAGCTTCTGTCCACCACCTTGTGTTCTGAGCTCCTCGTGAGGGTGAAGCGGTGTAGAAACAGCTCCGTCTATATTTAGTCCTTTCGTTCACTTTCCATCTCTTCTGAGTCGATTGTGAGCAACGCCATGCTGTGTGATTGTGACTCTTCTAATGTCAGACGTCCATTGATTTATGGAACAACACAAATCCATTTATTGCAGCCTACGGTATCTGTGCCTGGACTAAATCCCCCGCGGGAGCAGTTTAAGGCTTATGTCAAATGTCATGGAGATTTGGAACGGAAGCTTAAAACTTAGTTTGTGCAGTCTTTGTACACACACGTGTGTTTACGTTGCTGTAGGACGAGCTGTCCGTCTCCAGATATTTCTCACGTCTGTGATTTACAGGCGTTTTATCTTTTTTTCAGACTCTTCACTGTGGATTTTCAGAAATATTATTAAAGGCTAATCTCCTTTAAACCAGATGATCTGCTTGTTTTGGCCCCTCGTAGTGTGTTTCTTTGTTGGCGGAGGAGCGGAGAGCATAAAGAGCGAGTTTTTAAATGTCAAATCGTTGTTTTTCTGTTGTTTTCACTATTAGCCTGGCCCCCCCCCCCCCCTCCCCCCCCATCCCCCCCCCCCCCCCCCCCCCCCCGGACTGCTGGCTGGTCGGGGGGGTCAGGAATTACTTGAGATGAGTTTTGTTTTCATTCTCTGCAGCTGTGGTGGGAGCACGAGTCTCACCAACATGTTGCGTTATTAACTACAGTATGAAACGAGAGTTATAAAGCCTCTTTAACTTCTAGCAAGCAAAGCAGAGTGCAGCCTCTTCCTTAAAGGGGCAGTGCACCCCACACATCTAAAATACATATGGTGCTATTTATCAATATGGATTGTTTTGGTGTGAGTTGCCTAGTTATGGAGACATCGGTCCTAGAGATGTCGGCTAATATAATGTGGCAAGGAAAAACGAGTCCGATTATATCGATGAGAGGGCAGATAGATATTGATCCATTTTTAAGGAAGGATGGCCCGTAAAATTCTGACCTGAAGGGACGTCGATGAGGAGAAAAGCTCACAGAGACGGTGGAGACTGGACATAGCTTATATATAACGGTGCACACTTTTAGACAATCTCCCCTGGAAGACAGTCATTGTGTTGTTCTCTTAGTTTCATAAGAAAAGTGACAGAAAGAGTTGTGTAACAGAAGAAAAAGAGAGCTAGAGAGAGAACTTGTTGCTTTTGTTCTTTCTGTCCTCGAACAAAACACAGAGTATCAGACCGAGGTCTTTCTGAGACCTTTAGTGTCGGATCAAACAGTTACTAGAAGCATAACAAGACATTCCCCTTCTCCTTTATTCTCTGACATTTCTAAACTCATAACCTTTGACTGAATCCATTAGTCTGTAATTACTTTGTTGTCACTTTTAGTGTAACGGAGAAAATGCACGAGGCGCCGCAGCGAGCAGCACAATGGAGCCTCGTTTTTCATTTCATTCCCAGCATACCTCTGTCCAGCCATGCCTGTCACACGGGAGGCATGTTTGTGTTCGAGCGTCACTGTCACTCAGAGACTGTTGTGAAATATGAACCAAACTGAATTTTTTTATGGATTCTGAGATGTGGTCGCGTGCAGCTTCCTGGTGGAATCAAAAGCAGACCGGTTAACTGCTTTTATCTGAGCATCACTTGACCCGTGCTGTAGATGGTTAAAACCAGATTAAAGCATGAACGGTCCAGAGCTCAGAGGTCTCTGAGTCTCTCCCCAGATGAAGGCCTCTGATGCCGGGCGTTAACTGTATGTGTAGCGCCATGTCCTGGAGCTAAAGGAGATGCAGTGGAGGAGAAGAAGAAAAAGAAAAAAAGAGGATGAGACGAGGAAGTGTGTGTGGTGATGCTGATGATTGCAACGGTGATTTAAATTCTAGATGTGGATTGGGGTGCGTGCGTGTGCATACGTTGATGAGTGGGATGAGTCGGGGGGGGGGGGGGGGGGTCGTCCTGGCTCTGGGGAGGTAGAAGTGTGGTTTTCTACATATCAAAGGCTCTTGCTTACATCCCATCCCCACCCTCGACCTCCCGCGGTGTGTGTGAGAGTGTGTGTTTCTGTTCCCGGTAAGCCAAGTATTGACACACAGCTGTCAACAGTGCTGATCCAGACGCTCCGGGGGGGGGGGGGGGGCTCCTACAATAGATGCCTCTATAGATGCAAATAGGAATTAAACTACCAGATTTCAAGAACAATGAAGAATGAGATTGAAGTCTTTTTTTTTGCATCTTACAAAACATAAAGTAAAAGATACGTACACTCCTATAGTAAAACGCACCAGCATCTTTTATGCATTTAAAAAAGTGCACAGGAGAGTTGGGAAGCTGAAGGACTGACCAAACCCACAGCAAGACGAACAAATTCTATGAATTATAAATGATAAGAGACAGAGACAACAAAATAGGAAAGATTCCTCATTCCAGCTGCCTAAGAATCAACCATGGAGCATAAGATGTTTTCAAAATGCAAATCAAAATGTTGAATTGTTTGAAAGTTCAGATTCCCCAAACAGTGCCTCTTTGTCACAGACTACATATAAATCAAAAGGGGCCACACATTCTCACAGGGGCCACCAAACTCTTACCTGTGAAGCCCAAAGTCACCAACTGTTGCCGTCTCTTCCCCTCCGCTGTGCTTGTGGCAGGCAGAGCCAGCCGGTCTACCCGGGCCTGTCCCCCTGTGGATTCAGGCAGCCCTACTCGTCCAACCTCTCCAGCGCCACCTCCTACTCCAGGTATCGTAGCCCTCCGCTGGCCGGGACCGAGCCAGCAAAAACAACAAGCTACGCTCTTGCATCATCGACTCCTGTTTATAGCACATTCAGGTTTTTGGTTTTTTTTCCATACTCCGTGTGCAGCTTCTGTGTCGGCTTTCATTGGGCGGCTGCTGTAAAAGTCCTATTAGAGCCGTGGTGTGCTGTAAACAGGACGACTTCAGCGTTTCGCCAAAATAAGCCGAGTCAAGTCAAACAACTGAGCCGAGCCAAGCTAGCCGCTGCTGCAGACACACACACACACACACACACACACACACACACTTGAGTACTTCAGGGGGAGCATGACGTCTTGTGAGCCCCGCTGTGAGCTTGAGAGAGCTACAACGTCTTCCTCTCGTGCTTTTTTTGTGCATTTGCTTTAGCCGCGGCTCTTAATTTGATCCTGAGAGTAAGTCGGTGCTTTCTCGCCTGCAGCGCTTTGCTGGTCTCGTGCACAAGGCCTCGGTCACACAGCAACCGGAGGTCAACCTGCCTCTCATGTAGTTTGCTTTAGGCCTGTGTCGGGTCACATAGGTGGACATTTCCACAGCGATTGTCTGTTTGTTTTATAAATCCCAACAACCTAAAAGCCAGGTAATTGATCACATGATCTTGGATATCACACCTTTAACCTGTTGCTAAGAGGGGAAATGTTTCCTCTCTATTCACTACTTCCAGCAATAAGTATTACTAACTTGAAAATCTCAATTTACACATTAATAGTTGTGTTTTCCTGTTGCTAGTACCTCAATGTTTCAAGTGCAGTGAAGCCACCTATGAGCTATTACACTATGCAGGTTAAAACCAAACAAAAGGAATATATTTTGACCCGGACGCTCACTCGATCAGCTGCCCGATGCTGCTTCTTTGACAGACAAGGTGCTGAAACAAACTTCCTGAAATGACTAACCTGCTTTTAGGCTGAAACAAATAGACTTGAATGATATCTGACTGAGTTCAGGCGTTAAACATGTGAAGGATTATCTCCCTCGTCTCCCGACCTCTGGCTCTGTAATGCTAGGACGCCCTCTGGTGGTGACAGCCGCTCACACCTTTGCTGAATAGATTAAAAAGAAGTAAATCACACATTTGAAGCACTGTGCTCAACATGAACACCATCCTCCAGTTGTTAAGTCATCCATTGAGACGCTTTTCATGCTTTCAGGCTCATTGCTCACCAAAAAGTGACGCTCTTGCTTTAAAGCTCATCGTCCGCTCTGCCCCCAGACTCTAAAGAATTTCTCTGAACCCTCGTTTGTTTGTCTTTCTCTCGTCCTTCCGTCCGTCTCCCCCCCCCTCCACCTCTTTCTTCCACCTCCACCAGGTTCCCTCACTCTCTGATGCTGGGCCCGTCAGGCATGCATCCCACAGGGATCCCCCACCCAGCCATAGTGCCCCCTACAGGCAAACAGGAGCACGACCACTATGACAGGGGCATGTACATGTAAGTATTGCCTGCACTTCATTTGGTTTTGGGGTGATTTTTCTCCCCCCCCTCTCTGTCACACTCCTCATCATATCCTCCTTTTCTAGCGTTTAGTTTCTTGTTATACTAAATCATGCTCTGTTTGTATCACACCACTTCATTGTTCTTGTGGGGTTTGACTTTAATTTGGTACTTTTTTGAGGCAGTATTAAATATATTTTTTACCTCACTGACTCAGGGGGGGGAATAAACAACTTCAGTTATTAGATATAGTAGGACAGTTATAGGGATTAATATCTTAAAATTAAAACATGAGGAACTCATCATTTCAGCTGTGGTGGACATGCATTTCCTCTTGAAGGAATCTTTTCACGTGTTGTGAAATATAAGGATTCGCTTTCTTGGCGTGAGTTAGAAAAGAACGATAAAACTCTGTTCATTAGATACTGTATGAAGCTACAAGCCAGGAGATGGTTAGCTTAGCTTAGCACAAAGACTGGAAACGGGGGGAAAGTACTAGCCTTGCTCTGTCAAATGATAACAAAATCCACTTACCAGCATCTCTGAAGCTTACAGTTAACTCCTCATATCTCGTCTCCTCGCTGCAGATTCATATTTAACGTGCAGACATGACAGAGCTATCAATCTTCTAAACTAACCCTCTAAAGGAAAGGGAATGTGTATTCCCCGAAATATAAACTTTTACTTCATATTTGTTTTCTGTATGTATGTTATGTTTCATGTAATCTATTGTATTTTAGTAACACCAAATCTAATACCTTGTATGCACAAACCAAAAGAGAAAAACAAAAAAACTGTCTCTGATTCTCTCTCCATCTTTGCTCAAATTCCTCACCTCCTTCCTCCTGCCACACTCCTCCTCTTCCTTCTCTTCCTCCTCTCCCCCTCAGGAAGCCGCATGTGGAAGCCAAGCGGGAGAAGGAGCCCAAGAAGCCGGTCATCAAGAAGCCCCTGAACGCCTTCATGCTCTACATGAAGGAGATGAGGGCGAAGGTCATCGCAGAGTGCACATTAAAGGAGAGCGCCGCCATCAACCAGATCCTGGGACGAAGGGTGAGGTATTCACACACACACACAAGTGAACGCAGACTAATCCTGTTTCCAGGTCAGTTTGTAATTTCACACATGAGGAACATGAGAGGGCTGAGGTAACGTGAAGTCTGTTCCCCTCACAGACTGGTGCTACTGAGATCATGACACCTCAGACTGGTGCTACTGAGATCATGACACCTCAGACTGGTGCTACTGAGATCATGACACCTCAGACTGGTGCTACTGAGATCATAACACCTCAGACTGGTGCTACTGAGATCATAACACCTCAGACTGGTGCTACTGAGATCATAACAGCTCAGACTGGTGCTACTGAGATCATAACAGCTGTGTGTGTGTGTGTGTGTGTGTGTGTGTGTGTGTGCGTGTGTGTCTCCAGTGGCATGCACTGACCCGGGAGGAACAGGCCAAGTACTACGAGTTGGCCAGGAAAGAGAGACAACTCCACATGCAGCTCTACCCAACCTGGTCTGCCAGAGACAACTACGTAAGCACTCCTCTTCTTAACCTTCATCTTTTCTCCTCTTCCTCCATACTCCATACAACCATTTCCTAAACTTAATTTTTAAAAGCTGATCTGAAAAAGAAAAAAACCATAAAAGCAGGGGGATGTAAAGGTTTTAACTGGAGGAGGCACTCTCACTTTGTTATGGAACAGGCATGACTTCTACACCTGCTGTAGTGGGAACCATCTCTAGAGGGAGGAGGTCATGTGGCTGAAACTTGAAATGTTTTAATGATCTAATATGTTGTTACATTCCTTTACAAGTATTACTGGAAATGTGTTGTTTTTTATTTATTATATCAATTTAAATATATTATAAACATGATGAGTTATACTTTAACATTGTGTTATACCAGAAAGTAATTTGTTTTGAATAAATTAAATTGTTCAACTATAGTGTCTATGGTGTTTTCACCTGGATTCTTCTATTATTGATTTTTTAAAATTTCATCAAAATAAGAGTAAGAAAGCAATGAGAGGGTTTTATCGTACATAAGATCGTAAAATAAAAGCAGCACAAAACATTTGATGCAAGCCACTTGACTTCTTTCTCACTGGTTTGATTCCCTGTAATTAAAACCAACATGGAAACAATACAAACAGAACAGGATCAATGCAATAAACCAGAACCTGTTGAACTGGGTTTGATCATATTTAATGTTCTCACAGATATTAATCAACTTAACTCCCTTTACTGGCTACTGTCTCAACAACCTGCATGATTATTGGCTCCCAGGCCTGTCAGTCAAAAGTCATAAAACATAACGGACATAGCATGAAATGATTTAGTAGGTCTCCCAGAATACTAGAGGAAGTCAAACCTGTTGTGTAGTCTAATGTTTTGGGGATGTGCTGTATCTGGGCTGCTGTGTGCCTCTGATCTGTCAGTTTGCTGTTGAACTCTTGCAGGAGGCGGGCCTTAGCGGGGTCGCAGGGGAAAAGAGTAAAGCTGATTGGGTAGGGACACGTCTTACGGTGGATTTATGCCTCTGTGGTGGGAAAATATGTGAAGAGCTGCATGAAAGGGGTTGTGGGTATTCCTGTGCAAAGTTTGCATGCACCTTCTTCAAAAAAAAAATTCTAAAACAATTCTTAATGACTCACACATGTCAGCCCTCACCAGCTGCAAAAGCAGATCTGATTGGACTACATTTCACCAAGTCTTGCACATTGCCATGGTTATGACTACTAGTCGCACAGAGGTATAAATCAACCCGTTTTGCTCAACTAACAGAGCAATGGCCGCATGGCTGGCCTCGCTGCCTTAGTTTAATCTTCACTTTAACAATACAGCACCTTCATTATAGTTACTAGTAGAGCTAAACACACGTTACGGTTACACAGAGACACTGCACTTAGTAGTGATTTTTAGACTAAGTAGTCATCTGTTTTTCTAATAACTATAGGTTTATGTAAACCCTGTAATGTCTGAATATTTTCAGTGTGTCATAATCAGGTGAAGTAAAGGCTTTGGTTGTAACAGAAGCTGCTTTTCAGTGATGTTTGGATACCTGTCAGAGTGGTGACCTGTCTACGCTTCTCTCTGCTGTCCTGTCTTGTTTTCTCTCCACCTCACTGAGCTGAACTGTGTGGACGGGCGGGCATGGCACGCTTTGCTTGGGCTGTGGTTTATAACACGTGCTGCTCCACGTCACAAAAATGCACACTGATTCACTTCTGATGTCATTCTTCATTCGTTTTTTTGTCTCAAACCTGCCGTTTTTTTCTTCGAGCAGATATTTCAAAATAAATGTTCTAACTCTGTCCGTAGATGGTTATTTCTAAGCTCACCGCTCAAAAGCATCCTCGTGATGTTGTGAACATGTTATAAACCAGAGCTCTAGTAAACGGTGGTCATAGGTGTAGGAGCTATTGCTGTCTGCATGGAGCTTTGAGCATTTTCTAAGCAGCTCAGTGAGGCGTAACACATTGGATGCTGTTGCACATGAACAAATGTCATGACTAAATACGACTGTCTATGTAAACATCGTCCATCCACACTGGCTTACGGACAGGTGCAATGCTCGAGTATTCAACCCGCACAAATAGAGTGGGAGTACAACAGACAACTGTCGTTTGACTAGTGCAGAGACGGGCGGCTGGCTAGTTAGCTACTTAGCTAGTTAGCTTGTCCTTCTCCGGAGCGGTGGGCATTGAGGTGGAGGGACCGTTAGACCGAGCACTGCCACTAACCACCAGCCGGCTGTTCAACTCACGCTCTGTAACCAGTGTAGCATTAAAGCACGGTGGAATTAGCTTGCTAGTTCCACCGTGCTTTAATGCTACACTAGTTATAGAAAATAAGTCAAACAGTGTGCTTTCCCACACTGTGACGGTGTGTGGATGAAGCATTAATCGTTTAAGTCATTACTGCAAAACTGCACCTTAGTGAGTCCGCAAGTTTGTACGGAAGTTAGACCGCCACAATGGCAACAGCACACGCAGAAAATGGCCCCCGCTCTGACCATCCTGCTGCATTGATTTGAATGGGAATGTTCGTTCTACTCCTATTCTATTTCTATGACTCAACTATAGGGGCACTGGACAGGTAACTCTACTCTGTATGTCACCAAGTGGAACCTTTTCAGATGATGTTTTAGGAATCATGTGATCATTCTACAGCTGTAAGGAGGACTTATTGTTGCACCATAACATCACAACGTACTGTATGTAAATAAATCTAAAACATAAATGGTTTATCCAAAATATTCCTCTTAAGCACAGGGAGTCTGATCAGCAAATAAGTAGTGATGAATTATGCATCCAAGCATTCAGGACGTCTTGGCTGTGCTTCAAAAATATCTGTTGCATTATGAGAAACACCCTTCACTCCCCATCACCCTCATCACAAAAACAAAAAGAAAGTCACCGGACCTACTCACAAAACAGGAAGTGAAGTTCCACACATCGCCCCCGCAGCTGTGGAGGGCTTCTCCTCCGAGTCCTAAAGAAACACACACACACACACACACACACGCGTACGCCCACAAACTCACAGCTTCAGAATGGTGCACTTGCAAGAGGAGTTGTTGTAACCACATAGACGATGCTGACAGCGAGCCGAGGGGGGCAGACATCGAAGCGTAGGCGGTAAGATCTCTGAACCCACATCCTTCATCTCACCCAAACACAAGGCCTCGCTTCACCGTCACTGGATCTGCTTTAACAACTGTGATGTTTACCTCAACAGTCAACTATGAAAGCAAGATTGTTGGATGCAAATCTTTAAAATACATTTTTTTTTAAAGATTTAAGAGTTGTTCCATCGATTACTGTTTGGCAACGCGTCAGTTTTTGCATGAATTAAATTCACAATGACATTAGCGATGGAGCGTATTTTCTTGTTTGGATTTCTTCATCTTTCTTGCTTTTTTTCTTGCTTTCGTAGAGCATTAGATATGGTTGCCTGACCTGGTTGCTGGTTGCTGCTTTTAACTTTGCACTCTATTTGAAATGGATTTACATGTCACATAAGGGATATTTGATGTGGTGCAGATTTCTGTTGATAAAAGAATAGAGTTTTGGGACTTTATTCCATCACAAACACTCACTGTCAGTATCGCTCTCAAAGAGGGGTCGCTACCGAGGGCGGTGAACGAACATCTTCAGCTAACTGGAAAAGCAAAGATGAATCCAGAAATTCTTTTCGGAGAGATTTTCAGACAAAATCATACACACTGAACAATATTATAAACAACAACACTTTTGTTTTTGCTCCTATTATTAGAAGAAGATCTAAGACTTTTTCTATGCACACAGACGACTTCATCCTCTCATATTTTGGTCCCAAATTTGTTAAAATCTGTGTTAGTGAGCCTCCTTTGTCAAGATAAGTTGACTGGTGTGGCATATCCAGATGCTGATCAAACAGCAGGATCACTACACAGGTGTGCTGGTCACGATATGAGGTCACTCTAATATTAGCAGTTTTATAACACAAAACAATGTCTCAGAGGTTTAGAAGGAGTGTCGTTGGCAGGAATGTCCACCAGAGTGTTCATGTCACGACCATTAGCCGTCTCCACTGCCGGTACCGAGACTTTGGCAGTACAGCCAGTTGGCCTGGCAGATCAGGTGTAACCACGTCAGAACCGGGACCTCCACATCGCCCAGCCACCCGTCGCTTTGCACAAACCCAAAAATGTTTGCACATGTTGGACAGAATGCATGCAAGCTGCAGCATGACTAGTTGGCGGAGGCGGTAAATTCTACTTTCAAGATAAAACTGCACATTTTAGAGTGACCTTTTACTGTGACCGGCCCAAAGCACACCTGTGTAGCAATCATGCCGTTTAATCAGCATCTTGATACGCCACGTCTTCCAGGTGGACGGATCTGTGTGGGTGCTCACTAACACGGATTTTAACAAAAAGATGGGAGCAAAAACAAAAGCTAAAAAATATTTTTGTTCCGCATCAATATAAGAGAGCAGCTGCACTCTTACACAAGGCTGATAACTGATCTGAGTAGAGACCAAAATAACTGGATTCATCAGCTTCAGTCAGAAGTCTGCTGATAGTGAATTTGATGCTTTGTAGTCATTTCAACAGCTGAGCCTGTCTCATTTAATTGGGGGGATTTTTTTTGTTTTTTCTCCCGCAGGGCAAAAAGAAGAGGAGAAAAAGGGAGAAGCTGCAGGACTCCAATACAGGTAAACACAAATATCTCACATCTCTCCTGTCAGACAGATGCCACGGTGCCATGTTTCAGTAGAGGAAAACAAACTCAAATAATTGAGAGAATTCAGTTGAACTTGAAGTTGCGTTGGCGCTCTGTAAAGCAACGTCTTGGTGTCTTTGAGGCAGGATGTGTCTCTAACGTCAAACCACCCACCCACTCTGCTTTCCACCTAACCTGGATTATAAACCTTTTAATCCCCCGGTGTACAAAACTCTGTGTCCTGTTTTTAGCTGTCCGAGTTTAAACTGTCAGACATCACGATTTCCCTTTTCCCTCAATGTATGTAGGCAATCCAAAAATATGTTCCCATCTCTTAAGCAGTTAAAACACACACACACACACACACACACACACACACACAGAAGTCCTCTACATGTCCCTAGCTGATCATTTTGTACCCGAGGGCTCATGCTAACCCTGTAGTTTAGTAACTAGCATCAGCAGGTAGCATCAAAACTGAGAAGGTAACACTGTGGAGCCGTTCTAAAGCTAAACTCTGCAGATCTTAAATGTGAGAGACGGGTAGAACAATGCTGATAGATGTTAGTCAGCTGGTAGCGACTGATGGAGAAGCATGAATGATGTCATTTATCTTAACCCAAGATTGACTCTCCTGAACCATGCTCCATTTCAAAATGGCAAATCTAGAAATCAAACCCGATTTTCAATTAATAAAATCTGATAGAGAAGTCGTAAAGTGTATTTGGGGATTTTAAGAGCGCCAGAAAGTGAAAAGCGCTGAAAATCCTGTACTAACTGAGCGTCACAGTGCGGCTGCCCTCTCTCTCTCTCTCTCTCTCTCTCCGTACGTCTTAACAGCCTGTTTCCAGGATGTCTGACTTGTTTGTTGAACTAAGTTGTGTGTGTGTGTGTGTGTGTGTGTGTGTGTGTGGTTACTCTGGAGGTTGTCGATGTTTTGCTGTGCGTTAACCGGCTACTAACAGTTTGACTTGATGGCTTTCTCTAAGTGACATGCTCTTGTGTCTCTTTATTTCTCTCCTCTTGGTCTGTCTTTATCTCTCCTCCCTCTCTTAACCTTCCTCTCCTCCTGCTCTCCCTCCCTCTTGTTATGTGCATGCTGTGCATTGTGCTCAGACCCGGGCTCTCCTAAGAAATGCCGGGCTCGCTTCGGCCTCAACCAACAAACGGACTGGTGCGGTCCCTGCAGGTGTGTACCAAACAACCACCCCCACTCACCCCACCCACTCCATAGCACGGCACTGCTATCGTCCAACAAACAGACCTCCTCTTTCCTCCCATCAACCATCCGTCCATCACCTCCCTCTGATGGGGTCTTACTTATTCAAACATGACTTAAAGGTGGAGCATTTAATTAAGCGATTTGGAACGCAGCTCAGATGTTACTTAAGTTACCAAGCTCCACCCACTGGCGATTAACTCAACCAATGAGATTAAGTCTGCCTCGAAACAAGCTCCGCCTTCAAAGAATGTTTGAAAATCAAGCCTGATCTCTGCATGCTGTCTGTCACTAACGAGCTGCTCTACAAACCGCAGCATCATGGCCATGGATATGTAGTCGTTAGTAAAACGTGTTCCCAGTCGAAAAAAAGCATCAAAACATCTGAAAAAAAAAAATTTCTTGCAGCATAATCATAACACTGTAAGTCACTAAAACCGGGTCAGTAATATTCCTTTGACTGTAGGTGAGGCATCACAGGGGAAGGGGTAAATCTTTTTCTCCCGTTTCCTTATTTAGCTTGTTACTCTGATGTCTCGCCGTAAAGGTCAGAGGTGGTTTCGGCTTTGCACTCGTGTTATGAAGCGTCATACAGGCTCTAAAGGTAATGTGGTTAAAGGGGAATACCACTCTGCTTCTCAGCATATCAGTGGAGCGATTTCAGAGAGAAACATTTATTCCTCAGCTTCCCTGCTGATCTTTTTCTTACAATTTTTTAGTCTTCTTGATGAAAGACTTTAACTTCGAGCATGTACGAACGTTTGTTAAGTCACATGAGTTTGTGCCGTAAATTGCCGAAAAGTCAGACGTCGTCAAACAAGGTCTGAGTTTGGCCGGGACTAAAATAACAATCCTTTATTTTTTACACCAGCAATTAATACCAGTTTGCAACACCTGTGTTGTAAAAGTTCAAACACTAAATATTTCAACTCTTAAATTCTCTGAAGACCCACACAGCTGTTTCCAGTTACTCTGGCTGATTAGACTCCACTCAGGACAGAGCTTCCTGTTGGCTCCGTTGCACCTGTTGAGGCGGGACAAGCTGCGGCCCACATCGGACCCGAGCAGAGAGCATGACTGAAAACACCTGTGTGGGTGTTCAGAGTCATTGTGAGTCAGTAGCCAGGCTGAATCCATTAGATCGTGTAGTTATGAACTGAAGCTGGGAGGTTTCCCACTGTGAGCAAATGGCCTGAGCCAGCTGGAATAATATTTTGAACACTCGCAGAGTTGTAAAATCAGATTTAATCATCTGCCAGAGCTGCTCATACAGACGTACCGCAGGATTATTGACTACGACAGCTTCAGCATTGATCTCAGTTGCTTTTGCTCAAGATTCCAACAACCTCAGTTTCTCTGTAATAAGGCAGAAACATGGCGGTAGTAGCACATAACTCAGAAGTAAGCCTATCACCTCGTCTGGTTTACAGTAGACAGTCTTCGCTGCAGGAGTCGGGAATCTGTGTGGTTGTGCAGAAAAGCTTCTACCACCACAGCACTGTAGCAAACCCCGCCGTCTTCCCCACCGTCACGTCATGGAAATCTAAGAGTGTGTGTGTGTTTTCGGTTTGAGAGAACAAAGGGGGGTGAATGTGGTTAGAGCAAATCCTTATCACCACAGCTCAACACACACACGCGCGCGCGTGCTCCCTGCAGCTTTGCATTTTGACGGCATTCTCATGCCCATCTGCTTTCAACTTTCTCCATTCATGCGATGTGGTAACAGGCACCGTTTGATGGTGAACTCTGACATTTAGAAATCACTTTCTATTGCACTCTTCCCCTCATCTCCCTCTCTCTAAATATGGCCTAGCTCCTTGCGGTTAAAACCTGGTGACTCATATCATATTCTGTTAATGATCATGGGATCCTGTGAGCTGCTTTGATGCTACGCTCAGAGCTACACAAGTCTGCTTTTAGGTTTAACACCTCGCAAAGCTCAGCACATCACTGCTGTTCGCCTGTTAGACACATGCAATATGTTTCGGTGCAGGCAGTTCATTGTTTAACACTAACAGAACTAAACTGAAATGGAAGTAATATCGTAACTTTATTCTTAATGTGAGTGGTATTCCCTGCTCTCAAATAATAAATTCTTAATCATTTATCTTGGCATGAAGACTGGAAACAGGGAAACAGTTCAAAAATATGCAAAAAAAATAATGAATGAATAAAAATGTGTCTCAACCAAACTCCAGGAAGTCACAATGTTGTTCGCCAAGAACTATTTCCAGTCCAGGCGGCAACCTCCGGTTCTGAAAAGTGAAGCCGATACTACATGTGTTAAAGCTGCATTCTCTCTAGTGACCATCAGGGGGCGACTCCTCTGGTTGTATAGAACTAAACATCGAACAAAAAGTTCGGAAATTAGTGTTTGGTAGATTATTTCTCGATTGTAACTATGCTTCTTGGCAATGAATGTTATACCGTTGGAAAGCCTGTTTAGTTACCTTTCAAACGGTGCCCCATTTGTAAGGATCATGCATTTGTGGGATGAGCAGCACAGCTGAGTATGTGGGTTGTGGCCATGAAAAATTTGCCAAATCTTCTCTGCTGGTGTCGGCAACACCTGCACTGGAACCTGAACATGTGGAGGAACGTTATGTTCAGCGATGAGTCCAGATTCTGCCTAAGGAAGTTGGATCGTAGGGTCAAAGTGTGGAGAAGACGGGGAGAACGCTATGCTGATTGCTGCACCGATAGAATAACACCTTTCGGTGGAGGCAGTGTGATGGTGTGGGGCGGCATCTCCATCACTGGAAAAACAAGGCTTGTCTTCATTGGAGGCAATCTCAATGCAGAGAGATATCGAGAGGACATTCTGCAACCAGTGGCAATCCCATTTCTCCACAGTCTGGGACTGAACTCCATCCTCTAAGTCTCTAAGATGACAACGCTCGCCCCCACAGAGCGGTTTATCAGAGACTACCTCCAGAATTTGGGAGTAGAGAGGATGGAATGGCCTGCCAGCAGTCCTGACCTTAACCCAAGTGAACACTTGTGGGACCAGCTGTTCGTGCCAGAGTGACCAACACAACCACGTTGGCTGACTTGCGACAAATCCTGCTTGAGGAGTGGAATGCACCCCACAGCAGTGTGTGAGCAGGCTGGTGACCAGCATGAGGAGGAGGTGCCAGGCTGTTGTGGCTGTGTATGGTTCTTCCAGACGCTACTGAGGCTCCTGTTTGTTAAATGAATAAATTGTAAAATTGCCAATATGTCTTGTTTCTTCCTTGTTACTGATAGACTTCAATCATCCAATCCACCAAACAACACCGAGCAAGAGTCGATGGCAGAATATGCTGTTTGGCATTGGCAGAGAAGATTTGGCAAATTTTTCATGGGCGCAACCCACATACTCACCTGTGCAACTCATCCCACAAATGCATGATCCTTACAAATGGGGCACCGTTTGAAAGGTAAATCAACAGGCTTTCCAACGTTATAACATTTATTGCCAAGAAGCATTGTTACAACAGAGAAATAATCTACCAAACACGAATTTTCGAACTTTTTGTTCGATGTTTATGAGAAAATGACTCTACTTCTCTCTTGATTTATTACCTCAGTAAACATTGTAAACATGAGTTCATGGTCTCAATCTCTAGTTTCAAGTCTTCTTAAATACAGCATGATGTTCATTTAGTACATTATGGTCCATTTAGAGTCAAATAAACCATAAAGCAGGGTATGCTTTAGGGGCGGGGCTACTGTGATTGACAGGTTGCTACCGCGTAAGCAGCATCTCTACGAATATATGCCAAATATGCTCATTTCACTGATTGCAAAAAAGCCAAGATGGCGACGGCCAAAACGCCAAACTTGAGGCTTCAAAGCATCGGCCCACAAACCAACGCGTGATGTTACGACATCCACTTGTTACACACAGTCTATGTTTAATGGCTGTAACTTTGAACTTAACGAGCTGTTTCTCCCTGCTTCCTGTCTTTATGCTAAGCTAAGCTAAGCGCCTCCTGGTTCCAGTTCCATAACACAAATCTAGCCTCAGAGACATGAGAGTGGTTTCAATTTTCTCCTCTGATTCAAGAAAGCAAATGAACAAAGTTCACAAAATGTTGAAACTTTCCTTTAATGCAATCTTTAATGTTTTTCCTTTTAGATTGACACCAATCAAACAATTATGTTTTATTTTTCCTTATAAAAGAAAGTGACTTGGAAGTTTAGGAGTCTTTTGTATCTAGAAGATAATTAGTCATAAATGATATCTGTGATGTTTAGTTTTAACTCTCCATTCACTCGTTCATAGACTGAACTAATACCTGTCTGTTGTTCATTATGACCTCACGTCACCTGTTCGTTGACGTCAGTGTGTGAATGATCACATCTTCATGAAAGCCTGCTGACGTTTACCATCCACACTCTATTCACAGATAACTCTCTCTGACTGTCCCTAGGAGGAAAAAGAAGTGCATTCGCTACCTTCAAGGAGGAGGCTGCCCCAGCCCAACTTCTTCAGATTTAAGTGCTATAGACTCTCCGCCCTCCCCGACCCACCACCACCGTCTGTACCAGCACCGGCTCCCCCTCTCCCCGGGCTGCTCCCCACCACCCACCTCCCCATCCGCACACCTCCCCTTGTCACCGCCGACACACGCGCGCTCGTCGCACAACACGCGCCCGCCCCTGCTGCTCTGTCAGCCCACGACCAAACGCACCCACGCGCCGACCGGCAAGCAGACACACTGCTCCACGGCAGCGCTGTCAGCCGCCAAGGCCGCAGGACTTTCTCTCAAAGTGCTAACAGAGTCTCAGTGATCCTGAACCCCCGTTCACCTCAGCTTCCTCCAGAGCCGTGAAGATCATCTTCCTCACCTGCCTTCATGCTCATGTGGTTCGCTTTTTGTTTTAATTAAAAGCCAATATTAAATAGTGACTGAGGGTCATCATCCTCGCCTGATGGAGTCCCCGTTCAGAGGCTGGATCCTCCAGAATCTGCGCTTTTAGACAGAAGGCAAATCCTCCTTCAAGTGGTCAATTATTTAATCAAGCCTTCAGGTAATCTGTCTGGAAATATCTGTCAGATCTGTAGCTCTCCAATCACCGGTAAATTATTACCAGCCGGGACACGTTTAACCTAATCATACTGTAAATTTGTGACTTCCTGGTCATGAACTTAAATGTGTTAGAAGTTGGAGGAGGAACACCCGAGTGTCTGAGAGTCTGTGAGGCTGAACTGCTTCATCTGTCCGGTGGTCTGCTCAATGAGCCACATGGTTGGGAGGATCCAGCCTCTGACTTTGGTGAAAATCAAAGAATAATCTGTGGTTCTTTGGCTCCATCTGCTGCAGTTCAACTCAAATGACGCGATTAGTTTTGCCTCTTGAGAATCACTTTGACAAATAAAAACTCCCACTCTGTGCTCTTTTTATTTTAGTTTCTTCAAAACCGGCCCTGTGCTTTGACCTCCATGACAATCACAAACACAAAGGGTTGTAAATGAGCTCTTCGTTCAACGCAGACTCTTCTTCAGTGTCATGACATTTACACTCTTATCCCGACTTCGGGGGGTTTAGGGAAACTTTCCACTGTCGCTCAGACCAAACCAGACTAACAAGCAGCCATTCTGACCAGCAGAACCTCAGAGAAGGACAGACTCACTATTTTTAGCTGCCATTTTGTTTAACAGTTCGACTTCAGTTACATTCCATTTCCAAAACCTTTTTATAACTAGCTGTGCAAGACATTTTCAGCAGGTAAACAGTTCTCCTTCATGACAAAAGTATCCCCAACAGCAAGTTACATTATCTCTTTTAGGCACTATATCATGTTACATTTTTTGTTCCGTTTTCTCATTTCTGTACGAACCTCGTGATTTTCACGGTCAGGTGTTTAGCTGGTGGGGAACAATCAGAGAAAGGATTTTTATGTTTTTCTTTGAACATTTTTGCAGCTCCGTAAACTAATCTGAGACAAAATGGGTACTATCATATTGCATTGTTGTAAAGTTTTATAAATGTTGGAATTCCCTATTATAATTACACTTTTATATGTTTTTATGTAAAAAAATTAAAAATGAAATAGATAAAAAATAAAAAAAGATTTTAGTTGCTGCCATTTCTTATAGCAATACATTTTGTGTTTGTCCTTTTGTGCAGAATTTAACTTTGTTTGGGTCAAGTGTTACAGCAGCAGCGTTCAAATATCTTGTGTTCTCAACCCGTGCATGTTCCAACTTCAATGTTACAAAAAGGCTTTAATTTCCTGTTCAGCTTGCAGCTCCACACTCGGCATATGTGTACAGCAAACCTGTTTTACTCCAGCAGCGAGAGCTCTTGTGCTAGAAATAGCTTGTTTAATTTTGACGTCAGTAGCGGAATCACCTCGAAGATGTCATTTGTATTTTTTACGCCTCTGATGTATTACATGTTTTTTGTTCGATGTATTAAAGTGTTTAACATCTTTTCCATGTGTGCTGTGGTTTGAAACACAAGAACACTGCAAGAAAGACATCCGTGAGACAAATTACTGTTACAATTTAAATTCATGCTCCTCGGCTCCCCGCTACCTTCAACACAATAACCACAGACACCAGCCTTTTTATACGTTTTATTTAATCCTTCAATAAATGTTTGATCATCCCAAAAATCCAGCAGAGCTTTATCCAAGAAAGTTTCCAATTCAAAACATGAATTAGGAATGAGCTACTCGACGCTGTGTGACAACACACAAGTACTTCGAGTCCAAAGGACATCACGCAAAGAAAACATCTTTCCACCTCAAACTGAGTTCCCATTAAAACGGCCGACCCTCTGTGAACACGGCTTTACAGAACAAAAATAAAATATTCACCCTTTCATTTCCATTGTCAAAAAAGCCATTTTATTTTATCAATTTAAACCTAAAAGAAAAACAAACATGTTCAGTAAAAAAAGACAACCGTAGCGATTAATAATGGGGAGGACGTCTTCTAATCTGGTACCAAAGCCATGAAACCGAGACTATTTATCTTAAGTGGATACACAATATGTGCTCGTGTGGAAACAAAAGAGCTTCTGTTTAAATAATGACAATACACAGGCAGGTTAAAATGGTCATGCTATGGGTGTAGAGAAATAAGGGGACAGGGGCGCTGGCTCTAAATATACTAAATGTAAATATTGACAAGTATGAACAACACCAGTGCAACCAGTTAGCAGGAACAGTTCCTATTCAGTGTGGTAGTGTTGGCAGGATCTCCCCTTCACTTCTCTTCACACCACTGGTTCTCTTTGCGTACCTGAGGACGAGAGGAGGAACAACACACCGTGTGGAGGGTCAGAGCTGTGATCTCTTGTACAGAATCAAATACATTTTAATTATCTTTATGTCTTTTATGAGACGGGTGGAGTAAATACCTGGGCTTCCTCCTCCTCTGTGAAATCATTTTTGATGTTGAAAGTCTTCCTGATCTCCTCCGGGGTTTTGCCTTTAATCATGTTGGCCACCGTCTTGCAGGTGACATCTAACAGACCTTTGATGTCCAAATAGTTGGCGGCCTGGAAAAGGAAAAACAGTGCCATGAGGAAAATGAGAGTTGAGTTTAGACTGAAAAACAGCCCTGAATAAAAACAGGAGGCGGCTGCGTGTTTGAGGGCCTCACGTTTCAGGTACCAGTGTGACGATTAATGAGAACCCCATTTAAACCTGACAACATGCAATCTGAATGAGGCAACAAACACATTGATGCAAGGTGTAAAAAATCATCGGGATCAGAGTGTGATTTGATCGGTCAAACCACAGCCGGAGTTGCCAGGAGAAAATTCTTAGGAAATCTGTCCAGCAAGTTCAAAGGTCACATAACTCCAGCTCTTCCTGCTTGCTTGGACTCAATGGAAACATGAAACGCTGAGGTGAAAATCAATATCCAAAGAATGTATCCAGAAAGATCCGCATCACATATTAATACAAAGTGTACGTTAATCGAGTCGTAGTTTCATGAATCTGAAGGCTTCATAAGAAGCCAGAATACAGCAGTTTACATCACTAAGAGACATGATTTCACAACTCTATAGAAACATAGATAAGAAAAACATTCTTAATAGTTGTGTGATATTTATTTGAACAATATCTGAGCCCTACTGCTGAGTGAGCCATCAGCTTACACACTAAGCCGAGGTCACTGAGGTAAACTCTCACCCTGTACTAACAGTTTAACCTCACATACACCGTTTGGTGACAAAGCCTTGTGTTCATGTTTTTGTGGCACGGGAGGACCTACTCCGTCCCCCCTTCCCTCAGCATCAACAAGCTTTGTGCATGTAAACACAGGGGGAGGGGGGGTAATCAACTCAAGTGATGAACACGCAGACTTGTGTTTCACTTCTTGGAAGCCCACAGCTTCTCCAGCAGCTATTTCCCAACCCCTCCCAGGCACCGCTTCGATTACATTTAACTTGTCGTTTCAACACGCTGCCTAGAAAACAAATATTTAAGCCCAAAGATCACTCCCCTGTGGTTTTACATCTTAAACAGTCTTTTCCAATCCTCACAGCAGAAAACCACCATTCCTCCAGCTGTTACCAAGCAACTTTTGTATCTCTGTAAACCCAAATGGAAAACACTCAGTTTGGTTTTGGAGGTTAGTGTCAACCTCCAGGGACTGAATGTAGGTTAATGTAAATGTAAACAGTATTTACCAGAATGAGTTCAAACAAGGTGCCTTGGTCCACTTTGAGGAACTCCTGGTCCCATACAGGAATGTCATCTGTCCTCTTCTCCTTGTTCTCATCGTCCTCAGGAGGAGGGGGGTCATCTTTGTGATGAGTGCACCACTGAATAACCTGAGGGCCACACACACAGGTACCACTTAAAAAACATGCTTGTTCATTACAGTAGTCACAAGCTTGTGTAAGGCATTAATCAGCACTTATTTATCAAGCAACGGTTCCAGTTCTCCAACTGAGTTATGACTGAAAACCTTGTTGGAAATAATTGCAGATCTAAATCACAAAAATGAACTTGAAGAGGCGAAAAGAAAACAGGCGTTCACAGCCTTCTGCTCCCACACATGTGGTTAGAAAAGAAAACTTTCACACGGGCAAAGGGGAACATGTTTGACACACAAAAAGACACCCAAACTACTGTTTCTTCTGACAAACAAACCTGATGAACACTGATAATCACAGGTGAGTGAACACGGTGCTATGCTGTGTGTTTTAGGTAGCATTACCTTCTTGAGGATGGCAGCATTTACATTAGGGAGGGGAACTGGGTCATCGTCTCCTTCATCATCCATTCCCAAATCTGTTAAAGAATCAGTGAACGTCATACATATGTCTGGAATAAATCAACCAAAATGTACATTTATCTAATGAAAATACAGCCCCTTATATTGTGCAAAGGAGAAAAATAGATCACACAAAGTCGGCCATGAAGGGACACTATGGATGGGATGTTTGTGATTACTGAAGATGATATAAACATATATTTATACCTTCTAACATGGTCTTGATGGTGACAGACTGTTTTGCTATCTCAACATCCACCTCGAAGATTTCTCCATCGGAGCTCTGTAGTTTTATTGTGGGCATTATCTGTAGAGAGGGAACATAAGATTATAAAAACACATGAACGAGGCGCAGTTACATAAACACACACTAAATGTGATTAACCAACGAAGTAAACTGCTTACACTAATTCAATGCTAACGGTGCAGCTAGCTAAGCTAATGCTGCAACCTCCAAGCTAACAGGTGGCTAGCTAGATATATCTAGCTAGCCACCTGTTAGCACAGGCTAAACGACGGGAATGCTAACCAAATAGCTAATGGTGAGATTGCTATTGCATTTATAATTAACAAAAGGGATGCTCGTTAATACATAAAATACCAGGCCTGAATGTTAAACTAGCTACATTACCGTTACACACCTTGTATGTATGCGTTTTAAAATCAAAACAATCCTCTAAGCTAACCAGGCAGCTAGCATTACCGTGCACTATGCTAGCATCTTAGCTTGACGTTACGCTAGCTAGCGCCTCGCGTTGTCGGAGAGGCCTCTTAGCATTCAAACAAAGATGTAAACAAAACGTAAACACTGAGATTTTACCCCGATTTCCAAATGATGACATGTAAAAAAAAGTGGGACACATTTAGATACACGAAGAGACTTACCGTAAATGTATTTAACTCAGATCCAGAGGTGGGATTCCTCTGTAGTCAACAGAAAGAGCCTAACAGACGATAGCGACCGGAAGTCTCTTGATCAACCTGGTGAGAAAGGGGTGTGGCCTCATGAAGGCTGCTTTTCCTATTTATCTAACCTTTTTTATTAATTTACTTTTTATTTACTTTATATTTATTTTTGTGGTGGCCGCATAAAGGCTACTTTTCCCTTTTTTTTCTTTGCACCAACACACTATCTTTATATCTATTTGAAATGTTTTTTACGGAAGGGTGCTTTAAAACTCATCTATTATTCTTATTATTACTCCTCATCTGTTGTTGTTCTTTATGTTCATAATGTATTCTTTGATATATATTTATATTGTACATGGTAGTTAAATGTTTATGTTTAGTTTCCCTATTCCACTTTGTTGTCTTTAATTTCCTTGTTTTTTTTATATTTTTCTTGTTTATTTGTATATTCTTTGTATGTACGTTGAGAGCAATGTGAAAACCGGAGTCAAATTTCATGTATGCGTACACATACATGGCCAATAAAGCAGATTCTGATTCTGATTAAATCTGCTTTTAACCTGTGACGTTAGTTATGTTTGTGTTTGTGCTGTTCCTTACTGTTATGTCATCTATCTTGCTTATATTTTAATTGCTTCTATTGTTTCTATTTTTATCATGTAAAGTGTCTTTGAGTACCTTTTAAAGCGCTATACAAATAAAATGCATTATTATATAGTATTCTAGCTAACTGCATTATGCAAAGTCTTTTGGGAATTGTAACTGTTGTATTAATGTATCCTTGTCCAGTAATAACTTACTTTTAGTCTCATGTAAATAAAATATGCTTTAGGCATTATACGTTATTCTATAATGTAGTAAAAGGTGGATTAGGTGTCTCTAAACTACCACTAGGTGGCGCTGTCTCCTTATTACAGACCCCTTCGAGCTGATTACATGGTGCTTTCGAGTGATCCTGGAAAGCTGTCATTTCCTAACTTTTGGTACATAAATACCACTTGATCTGTTTCTAAATGTTGCATTTAATTATTCCACGAAATCAATTCAATAAAGAAAAACAGGAAACTGCATATACATAGACATTTACACAGACATGTAGAAGCAAAGGATCTATTAAGGACAATGTAGGGCAGTAGGTACAACTGTTTAAAAACAAATGTAAAATATGGAAATAGTCCACATGGCAGATAGGCACATTTGTAACAAGACATACATTCATTCAGTTTTTCATTTGTCAAGCTCCAATACTGCAGCTGGGAAAGGTGGAGCTAATTTTAATTAGTTTACATACTGATAGGTAGCTTGTGAATGAGGTTCTTATCTTAATCTATAAGACTATCATAATGTATTTGTTGCTTGGACTTTGGATTATTACTCAGAACACATTTAAGTTATTAGTAATATAGTGGATTAAAAAGTGCCTCTGAAATGTGTTAGAAGTAGAGAGTTAGAGGCAGAGAGTAACATAGACATTTGTATGTACATGAAATGCATTAGTTATATGCTATATAGTGTCAGCTTTGTTGACCTTCTTTTTAGACCAAGTCTATCTTTTCTGTTCTTGAACTTTGTGCAAATACATTGAAAGAAATTAAGTCAAATACTTTGGATGTGTTCACATCATTCGCCAACAAAGCTGATTCTGCATCTTGCATGAAATGGAATTACTCAGGTAAAGTACCTGCGGCCCATCAGGACCAAGACCTCACGCCACAAGAACAGTTTCTTCCCGTCTTCAGTTGGACTCAACGCCCGGGACCCCCACTGACTCTGACACTTATATCCCCAGGACAATTTCTTCTTAAACACCCTTGCACTCCTTTTCCTATTAATATACACTTGACTCTTAAATAATATACTTGTTTTAATATACTCTTGTTTGTTTATTTACCATATTTCTATATTTTTTAGTACATTTCAATATGTTTCCATTTTTAAATCATGTCTTGTATTTTGCACTGTGTTGTATTGTTTAATGTTATGCACCATCCAGCTAGTCAAATTCCTTGTATGTGCAACATACATGAAACGGTTCTGATTCTGATTCATTCTCGTGCTTTTATTTCGAAGGTCACAACCGGAAATGCAGTGTTTTATTGCGGAGAGCTCGACACGCGCTGGTTTCTAGGGTGGATCACGAAATGACGTCTCTCTCCAGATTTCAGTTAAATCACAGCGACTCCGCTGCCAGAGGTACACGCGTCTTCCAACAAGAGAGCAGCTAGAACCTTCTGTGGCCTGAAGACTGAAACATATTGGGAGAGTCGTCTCCTAACCGACATTAAGCCAAAGTATATTAAACACACAGAGTAATGGACGAAAAGGCGTTTACGAAAGAGCTCGATCTGTGGATCGAGCAGCTCAACGAATGCAAGCAGCTATCGGAGGGACAAGTGAAATCACTATGTGAAAAGGTGAGATTTAATTAATAATATCAACCCCCAACTAACTAGCTAGCTAACTGTCTTCTCTCAACTAACCGACGCCTTCCAGACATTCTTAAAATGGCGTCTATAGTGTACATTTCACTGCGGGGTGCGTATATCTGACAATTATTATGAGTTAGTGTCGCCAACTGTGGGTTTACTAGCCAGCAAGAGGTGCCAGCCATACTGCTGAGGATTCACGTCACATAGCACATTTAATTCACACTGTCAGTGCGACCTGTGACATCTCTTTTAGCTATCTAGCTGTGACGGTAAAAGCAGTCACGTGCTGTGTCACGTGACTGCTTAATTACTGTGTGCATTATGCGTCATGACGTCTGCATGTAAGCAGGTGCGTCGTGGTGGAACAGGTAGGTGAATTGTGGTTTAAAAAAAACAATATCTTCTGCATTTCTATCCTGAAATAATATATCTTAATGTAACGTGCAAAAAGAGTTGTAACGACCACGCATGCGTACCACATAGTTACAGTTCACCTCTGACCCCTGTCCTTTATCTAGCTTCTTATTTACTTCGCTAGCCAAATGAGTAGTCAGGCTGACTTGTTAACAAGGCTGTAAAGTAGTCAATAATCCAACATAAACATGACATTATGAGAGTTATTGGTCAAAGACGCGTCATGTGAGAGGAGGGTGTGAACTCTTAACTTTTGAACCATAATAATCCTCAGCTCCTCGTCCATGTTTTAGGACGGTTAGTAGACATTGTTGTCATTTATGCAGGAAAACATAGACGGTAATGCAAGCGAGTGACGAGGTAGACTGCCTTTCCCCCTAAAACCGTCATCTTTGAGGCCTCGTCTTTGTCCTCGTCTGTCTGTCTGGCTTTGACCTTTTAGCCACTTAACAGGTGGTTGCAAAGCCAGGAATTTGCTCTCTGCCTGAAAATACAAACTGAATACATAACATGTACAGTGTTTTCAGTCTCCCCCACATGTATTTCACTCTTGCTGGTAACTGGCCAACTGACTGCAGACTTCTCTGCTCTGAGCTGGAGCTTAACCCCAATCTCTCCTCAACATCCTCTCTGCTCAGACCACCTTCTGAGTTCCAGCTCTAGATGTCTTGGCCTAACCCGAAAAAGACAAAAAAAAAATGACAGCCTTATTGCTCTCAGCTCGTAAAATGCTGCTACCATGTTTGGACTTCTGGAGTTTAATGGCTCGTTAATTCCCAGCGTTTTGTTTTCTTTCATTCCACCTCATCTGTGATATGGTCAGTTCCAGTAGTTTAAAATGCCCCGTTTCTCACTGTGTGGGTCGAGATCCCCAAATCTATACTTTTCGTGACATCTTCTTGTCAATGTAAGAAGCTAGGAATGACATGAAGAGGACTGTTGGGCCATCTGGAGGAAAATGTGTTGAATTGCAGGGGAGGGGGGGGATGATAACATGTAGATGCAGGAAAGGCACAAATGTTGTTTTTCTTTCCTGTTGTCCCTCACCCAAACACAGCAAAAAATAGTTAAAGGAAACTTACCGTTTCCTTTCCTTGAGGTTGTATCCTTGTCACAGCCCGACTGCTCTAACTACCGTCTACCTCTACCCATCCATCCACCCACTGTGACTCTTGTTATATTCAGCAGAATGCAGCCACGCGCACCTCCTCCCTGGTTCTAAAGATAGCAGAGGATATGATTGATTTTTGAAGTTGCATCGCTTACACCATCAAGAGTCCATCTCTAAGCGAGATCAGAGTGTGTGTGACTCAGGACAACACTATTCACTGTGACTCAGAGAGCGGCCGTCTCTGTTTTGGGCTGTATGGGGGTGTGGAGGAATGCAATGTTCTCAGAAAAGGGCTGAACATAGCAGAGTTTTTTTGTCTGGAGTCGAGTGTACAGGGAGGAGTGAATGCTTTGTGTTTGTCTTCAGTTCCGGTGTTGCAGTCATCTCTGCTCAATTGATTCGCTCATGAAGCACCGTTTTTCTAACCATTAGGCATGGATCTAGTTCAGGTAAACGATCTTAAATGGGGAAGCTCACAAAGAGGTAACTCACTAGAGATTTGTCAAAGGCAGTAAATGGCAGTGTTGATGGGAGATTTGCTTATCAAAGCTGTGGAGATCATCTAAAGTGTCAGGGTGATGTAACAGTCCTGGTCATGCAGTGATGGTTGGCCTACTTCCTGTATGACTCCTCTATGTTAACACCAGTTCGATGCAGCCAGTCAGGTCAGCAGTTACAGCTGTGTCTGCCGACTGAGGTCATGGTTTTACTTTAAAAATGACTCTGTGAGAAGGACCGGTCCACATGATGGGTTGTTTTCCTGTAGCAGCGGCTGATGTAGTGAACTAGATTTGCATTGTTTATGCATTCATCAGCAGAAATCCCAAGATAGTGTTCTAGTGATATCATAAAAACAGTACAAATGATATCAAAAACACAGATGAAAGTATGCAGTGAAACCCGTGATCACACTCTAACCAAAAACACTGACGTAGACAAAAGGTTGTTCAATGCATCGCAGCAAAATTCACCAAACATCTGTCATAGCGGTAAAACGCAGACACAATCTGGCATCCTTTGGCTGCTGCCACTGCTGATTTCCACACTGATAGTGTTGTTTGTCAGGAAGATGCTTAACTTTTAACAAGCGTAAACCTCTTGGAGTGAGGTCATTGTTTGTGGTTACAGTTGTGCCTCGTCAAGTGTAATTTCTCCAGGAGAACCTTTGGCCCCCTTTTATACTCTTTTATAGGATTGTATTGCGGCAGCTGTTAAAATGCTGACTCCACTTCTCGGCACTGGGCTGAGCAGCTTGTTGATGGTGTGACGTCTGAAGTCTTTGAGCTGAGGTCTGTACTTTGGCCTAGGTGTTTAGCAACCGCTGCGTCATCCTTTTCATCCACAGCTGGACTACAAACTGACCTGTTGTCTTGTGGAAAAACTGGTCTCTCAAACACTTAAAGTTATGAGGATATCGCTAAATCCAAGCTATGTCGCATTGAATTAGTTTTATGTAATCTGATAGAACTGAATCTTGTTTTGTTGTTTTCAGTTATTGGTGTGTCGTCTTTCTAATTGCATATCTTCAGTCTTATACTTCCAACACGCCATGCAAAATTATCTTTTAAATTGACTAGCATCATATGTGTAATTCATGGCACATCGCTTTTGTCTCTTATATTATTTCCAAATTGAGGTCCTATGGTGGTCCACCGGAAGGGGAGGGACTTTGCCTCTCTGATGTAGTTGAACAACTTGTAATCCACCACAACAACCAGCTATAAAGGCAGATGATAAAGTTATTTACAACCGCAGGATTTATTTTGCCTATTTATTTGACACTTTTGAAGGCAGAGACTGTAAATAGAGAGAAAGACATGCAACAAGGCTGGAATGGAACTCGAACATTGCTGTAATGTAGGATGGATACACTTTCACCACTCGGCTATGAAGACAGCTGTAGGATTTTGACTAAAGGTTAAGTGTCTTGAGTGGGAAAGGATATAAGAGGATCAGAAAAAAAAGATTACAACACTTACCATAACACAAGGTTATGATCAGCTGAGCCAATTTTGGACACAGAGGTGATATCCGATAGGTCAATGAACAGTTCAGTGTGTGGTTACAGAGCTGGAGGCCATTTCCTGTATTGTGCTCTGGCAAAGCAACTCAGGAGAGGATGTCCTAATGAATTATGTGTGCAAGGAGAAGCACTTGCGGGTCTTTGATTGGTTTGTCTTACTTTTGTTTAAACCCAGTGAACAGTACTCTGGTCTAAATTTAAAATGTAAATGCATCAGAGGACTCTTTCTATTTCCTGCAGGAGCAACATTGATCTGTTTGAGGAACTGGAAAGCTTCTTTTCAGGCCTAAACGAAACCAAAAAATACTGCAGCAAAGATAATTCCATTAAAACTTTTGGCTGGCTACTACTTTAGTAGCTCAATACAGTGTCTGCTTGATTTCTAATCTACCGAATAGTCAAAAAGTCATCATGAACAGTGAAGAAATGTCAGGGTTCACTGCCCAAAACCTGCCTTTTTTTATGTGCTTCATACTTTCAGTTCTACTCTAGTTATAGTGGGTATTAAATGTCTAGTGTTGAGTGAGGAGGATCACTGACTGACCCGGCCCACTTATAATACATATTTATTTATTCTGCCCTCATAGTAATCAGGAGGAAGTGAGGCTGAGAATATATCTATCTATCTATCTATCATGGCACTGTGGGCATGTGGATGGTGTGTCTGGGTGTAATATAGGTCAACATTGTGCAGTCCTGTCCTGGTCTCTCTCTCTCTGTCGGGGTGAGGAACCAGCTTCAGCACTCTCTCTCACCTTTGGTTGTTTAAAGGAAACAGTATGAAACAATGGAGGCTGCTCTACATTTATTTGGGAGGAGATGACCCCTCCATTGACTAGACCCTTACAGATGTGTCGCTCTTCATCCACTCAGTGCGTCAGACATGTCTGATGGTCATTCAGCTCAACCGCAGACCATTTCTCGCTCGGCCTGAGGATTTGTTTGCTTCAGAGCTCCTTCTTAAAGCAGACTGGACTCTCAGTCAGACCCGCCTGCTAAGCTTTTAGACTGCGCCCTGATGATGTGGGTAGAATGAACCACTTTTTTGACAGTTCCACTTTCAGACTTGTAGTGGTTGTGTTCCCTTAGCCCTCCTGGAGGTAATAACCCGAGGAAACCAAGCGTTTCCTCTACAGACACCAGACACCGTTTTCCACACTCTTCTCTGCTTTTGGAGCATCACACTGATTGATTTTAGGAAATGTTGCAGTGCAGCCAGAGCTGTCTTTCTAAGGCAGGCCCACAGGACACCAGACACACACACTCTCATTCGGTAGGGGCTTATTTCCTTGGGAGAGATTATGGTGGAGATGCTGGGGGTCGTGTTGTAATCACTGTGCAGCGTCTTAATGAAGACCCTACTGGAGGCTGTGATGTGGAAATTGTGCAGAGATGTTGGCAGGAAATTGTCCGTTCCCTAAAGATGGAGGACGGAGAGTGACATGGAACATTACAGAGCAGATTGATTACAGTGCACAATCGCATGGATTTTCCTGCATTTCAATGAGCAAAATGCAATATATAAACCGTGGAAATGTTTTTCTTCTGCAGGCGAAGGAGATCCTCACCAAGGAGTCAAACGTGCAGGAGGTGAGGTGTCCGGTGACTGTGTGCGGCGACGTGCACGGCCAGTTCCACGACCTCATGGAGCTGTTCAAGATCGGAGGGAAGTCTCCCGACACAAACTATTTGTTCATGGGAGACTACGTAGACAGAGGCTACTACTCCGTGGAAACAGTCTCTTTACTAGTATCCCTGAAGGTAAGTCATCCAACATTTAATTTGCTCCAAAACGGACATTTAAAAGGTTTTTGTTTTTGGAGAAAGATTACAGTTCTGTTCTTCGCTGGTGTTTCAGGTACGATACCAGGAGCGCATCACGATCCTCAGAGGGAACCACGAGAGCCGACAAATCACGCAGGTTTACGGCTTCTACGACGAGTGCCTCAGGAAATACGGCAACGCCAACGTTTGGAAGTACTTCACAGACCTGTTTGACTATCTCCCCCTCACCGCCCTGGTAGACTCTCAGGTGAGGAGACTCATTGATTGGTCTCATAGGTATGACCTTATGTTATGACAGTTTATTGTTGCATCGTAGATTGTACGTCTGACACTTACTGTCAGAGAGAAGTACTTGTGTTTGCTGCACATACTGAAGTTTTCCTCTCATCCTTCCAGATTTTCTGCCTTCACGGAGGCCTGTCTCCATCCATAGATACTCTGGATCACATCAGAGCGCTGGACCGTTTACAGGAAGTGCCACATGAGGTAAAGAGGATACTTTATTATTGATGTTCCTGGCCGTTAAGCGACTTTTGTTTTTGAAAATTATACACACATTTAAGTACAAAAAAAGCTATGCTAAGAAGCAGAAAGGATGCAATGTGTTTCTCTTTTCTCCATACCTCAGTATATTTTCAGTTAAACCAGATGGCTGTTTTGGTACTGTGTTGGTGTTTCCTATGCTAACATGCTCCTCTTCCGCAGGGTCCCATGTGTGACCTGCTGTGGTCCGACCCCGACGACCGCGGTGGCTGGGGCATCTCCCCTCGAGGGGCAGGCTACACGTTCGGTCAGGACATCTCGGAGACCTTCAACCACGCCAACCGCCTCACGCTGGTGTCCCGGGCCCACCAGCTGGTTATGGAGGTAAATATATATGATTTAGTCTAAAGTCTTACAGTGCATAGACTTTACAGATACAGTCAAGAATTACGCACTTCAGAACTAAATAAGCGTAAATGAAACAATAGTTCCAACCACTGCTACAGAAGACAACAGAACAAACGGTTACACCACCAGCTAGCACTCTCATTTGCATTACAGCAGCATACTGTGAATAATGCGTCTGCTTCCCCCAGGGTTACAACTGGTGCCATGAGAGGAATGTGGTGACGATATTTAGTGCTCCCAACTACTGCTACCGCTGTGGCAACCAGGCAGCTATCATGGAACTAGACGACACCCTCAAATACTCGTTGTAAGTAGAACAAAGAAAGTGCTGGAGCATGTAACGTGGATATAATATTTATGACTCGATTGTTTTTCTTTTTTCTTCTCCTAACCAGTTTGCAGTTCGACCCTGCGCCTCGCAGAGGGGAGCCCCACGTCACTCGCCGCACCCCGGATTACTTCCTGTAAATTCTGACCTTCTGTCGGGGGCGGAGCTACAAAGCAGTGCACATTGTATATCCACACAAAGACCTATTTAAGCATTTAGCAAAATAAAAACAATGGACCAAAAGGTGCGTGCCATTATTACTACAATATTCATTGCCGAGTACTTGTATTGGGGAAACCTCCCCCGCTATTTAAAGCAGCAGTGAAGTTTAAATTCTTCATGCTGTAGCTGGACTCATGGCACTGAGGTCCAAGACGAAATGTACCTGTTTGAACCCCACACGCCACGGCTTGTATCTGTTTGCACTTTTGTAAATCTAAACAAATGTAACATATGTCAAAAGATGGAAATGATTTCACACTACAGATGTTTTTTTGATTTTTTTTTTTTTTTTTTTTTGATTGCTTTAAAAATGATGAATAAAGCCCCATCAGGCAAAGTGTTTCTTTGTCCTGTGTGAGGAAAGCCCAGCTTGATGTACATAAGAGAGATGATAGAGTGTTTATTCACATCAGCTCACTGACTCCCTCTGAACTACAGAGTCTGTGTTAACCAACCATTTGAATAATAAAGACAAAGGTGGCTCCTTGACATCAGTGTGCCATCTTCTTTCTTTTCTTCATGGTGAAAAACATCTCCCTGAATAAGATGGTAACTAGTGCTTTGGTCTGGCTTCCAAGGAACCAGCGACATGTGATTACGTTTGAACTGAACCACCTGGAAGTCGTCCAGTTCACCACCCAGCGAATAGGTCGGCCATCTGGGAGGCAGGTCGGCTGGCAGTGCTACGATTTTGTTTTTCTTGTAGGCCAAACCCAAAAGTTCGCATCACACTGGTTCCTTTGACTGAAAGCCAATGGGATCTTTCCATTGGCTTTTGGATTATTGCAGAAAATAAGCTCCCTGTCAAACACAAGTTTGATTCCTACATATTTTGTTCAGCAAGATAATTTGAAGTATGAACATAATCGTCGGAATACGAAAGCTAATGTGACACTATAAACAAACTACACCACGGTCACATGACGGAGTATATACAAGGCTGTTGATTCACCAAATTGAATATATAAATGATTCAAGTAAAAATTAGCAGCACATGCAGAATGTATGGAAGTTGGATTAAAAGGACACAAATAAAGTGACAAGGGACAATGGCAACAGTTTATATTCTATAATGTTTCTCTATATATATATATATATATATATATATATATATATACTCGCAGCTAGAAACAGTAAATCAGAGTTATTAGGGAGACGGTACAATCATTTTCCAATGGGGGTTTTTATTTTTATGTTAAATGTGAGTTGAGAAGAGTTCAATTCATAGAATTAGGGAGTAAATTAAAAAAATTCTGTTGAATAAATAATTTGGATTATAAAATAATCAAATGTTAAAGAGCGCTATCTGTATTTGCATATCAAAAGATAATATCTTTAAGGTGGTGGCCTCGAGAGATTGAGACTCGAGGTCTGTCCAAATTTTCAAAACCATAAATTGTTGACAAGACTACAGGTGGACTAGTCGGCGTTACATGTTCGTCTCATTTAGCCGCTTGTTTGCATCCTCCTTTATTAAAACTGACATATTTTATATCGAAGAACAAAACGCTGAAATTTCTTAAGCTTGTGTTAACTACAGACCTTAATTCAAAAAACAAAACATTTAAAAACACCCATTGACTTAGAGACGAGGGAGCTGGATGGACTCATTCCTGCAGCACTAAATTAGTTCAGGCTGTTTGGTTTGGAGAGGTTTGCACAATGACCTTTTTTAATGGCAGACACTTTGACATGTCTCAGCAGAAAAAGCAGGTGTATCTAATAACATTAATGATGATGTGGGGGAGGGGGGAGGTCCTGATATTGTTCATGCTCGTTCACTGGAATAGCATCATGGAACTGACCCATTAAGTTTATCAATGTCACCTGTACTTTTCCTACTATGAGAATATAGCTTTACCCCTTTCACTGCTACTAAAAGGTGAGACTATTTGGTAGTCACATTTATATGTTGTAATTATGGGATAGTTTTCATGAAGGGTTAGTAGAATTTTGGATCCACTACTTGTACTTGTAGTATTAAGACCTTTTGGTATTGCTACACTGGTCTGGCAAAGCCTCTGTTACTAAATAAGGCATGTTTCTTTCTTCTTTTTTTAAATGTATTTATGAATCCTGAGGGATTTATAAAGTAGGCCTCTAATACCTGATGTTAAGGATCTAGATGTTGATAAAAAATTAATAAAATAAGCTAATCTAAATGTAGTAGTGGTGATACAACCTTGGAATAGTATTTAAACTGATTTACTTCTCTAAGTATTCTTTTAAAGCAGCCAAACTAGAGCAGGAGAGGTTGTTTTGTTTTTGTTTTTTGTGGTGAAGTTTCCCTCCATTTCTGAAAACGCCCAACTTCCGGTCTCGCTCTGGTCGATCGACTCCAACTTGACGCAGCCGCAGAGCGACGCCCGTCCCACACAAATAGCAGCGGGAGAGCGATGATGACGTAAACTCAGAGCGCTGCATTTCATTGGCTCGCCGTTTTCACAGAGAAGTTGCCAAAACCCACTAGAGAGAATACGTCATCTTGTTGTGATTTTTTTTTTTAATGGTATGGTGATGACGTCAGCTTTTTACATAAGAGTTTGTATACAAAACTAAAGACAACAAGAAGGTTTAAGTTATTAAGTCACCATTCCGCATCTTTATGCTCTTGACTCGTGCAGCACTTTGCCTGTATTTTTATTTCCTCTTGTTTTATAAGTGAAAAATAGATTAATCAAAAAATGCTGTTTTCAGTCCCTAAAATGTGCAGATTTCCTGCTTTTCTCTGTTTAATATCATATTAAACTGAATATCTTTTTTTTTTTTTAACATACTTTAAAATGAACACTAATGCTCTGCCAAGGAAAGCAATAATTCATCAATCTGAGTGAAGTGACTCTGTGTAAGTGTGTGTGTGTTTTGACAATAATATATATATATATATATATGTATATCCTGGTCCATTTGGCTCGCCATTGAAAATGCTAACCTCAGTCTGCAGCCACACAAAAGAAACGACACCACACATCAAACACAATCTGAGATCAAAGAGTGAACCTGCTCACTGAAGCACAGAGACCGAGTCGTGCTCATTAATAATCCAAAATGAAACCTGTTAGCTTCCTTTTTTTTGCAAAAATGATGAAACAAGATGAAAGAGGGGGACAAATGGGGGAGGCAGCGAGCTTTGTTTCAATTCACACACGACCTGAGATACTTTACAGAAAAATCTGCTCTTATTGTCATTTTACAACCATATATAAGATGAGAATACCTTTAAAAACTCATAGTTGAGTAAAAGCCACAATTCAACAAATGAATGCATCATTGTCTTTAGTTCAGCTCTATTTTCGAAGAAATCAAATCTATTTCTCTGTGTGCGTGATTGTGTGTGTGCTGTAATGACGCCTCTCTCAATGAGTTCTTTTATTGAAATAACAGATGAAAATGTGGCAGGCAGGATGTTGTTGGTTTTTTCTGTTTTCCTGATTGAGGCTGTTCTGCAGCAACACACCATGTAACCATTCACATTCTCCAGAGCGCTCTCCTCCGTAATTGAAAAATCTCTGTTTGCAGGTTCGCATAGGAAACAGGCAACCATTATTTTCCTGCTTTGCACAGACTAGGAACAAAAGGAATCACCTGCATCATTGAAATATTAATTTTTAAAGAAGCCCAACCAGTGTCTCCCTCTGGATTGTGATAATCAGTTTCAGAAAACCATGTTCATTATTATCATTAGTTTATCATTATGATAAGCAGTCTCTGGATCGTTGTTTTCCACATTAATATTTCATCACTTTGGGAAACCAAAGCTTATCCCGGCTGTCTGATTGTTGTGGCCCTAGTTTCCCTCCTCCTCATGTGGCCTTTTCATTTGAGGACGCATGAGGGAAAACTTTTTATTTTCAGTTCCCTAACCTAATTAAAGTGCGTGCATTCCCGTGCAAATGGGAAATAGTATTTTCTCTACTTTGGATTTCCTCCCCAGTTTGCACAGATCTATGCCTCTGACATCCTTTATTTATGTGTTATGTGTGACACAAGTTGCACAACAAAGTGTCATCTACAGTTTTGCAAAATGTAAACAAAACTGAATCCTAGGAAAAGAGATATTTATATCACACAGTTGGTCAGTCCCCATGTCTCCATGCGATGACGGGGGTTTGTTTCTAGATTTAGGTGCGACGACATGTCGACCATCGGTGATTAAAGAGGCAGGGCAGACGAACACAATGCAGGAGCTTAATCCAGAGTAACACAACTCTCGGAGCCACTGGACGGAGCCACAGAGAGCTCCAAACAACAGGACACACAATTATTTTATCATCCAACCAAAGCCCCATTTTTAATTCCAGACGAGCGGATGCACGCCATACGTTTGATGCCGAGGCCAAAGCTGTCACGATGAACTGTCGGAGCGCTCCAGTAAACAACACTTTGCAGAGTTATGCGGAGTGAAAAGATCATGATCGATGGGTTGTTATGGACTGTTGGCTGATGAAGCTGCTTGTGATGTCGGGAGGAGAACAGAACTGGAGACACGCTGTGCGCTACCTCCCCAAAAAACAAACCACTGAGTTGTATGACAGCAGCTTTCCAGGCACACACAACATTACATCAGCATGAAGTCATGTGACCATTACCCTCTGAATATCCTTGAGAAGCAACAAATAAGGAGAGAGAGAGACGGATACATGCAGTTTATTCAGTGGTAGTTTTACATGCAATGAACAAAGGTTTATGCATTTTGACCGTTTTGCATTTAGAAAAGCTGACTACAGCTGCAATGATTAGTCGACTAATACCGCCAACTATTTGGATAATTGATTATTTGGGGTTTTTTCATGCAGAAATGTCAGAAAATGCTGTTTTCAGCCTCGGATATGGAGATTACCTGCGTTTCTCTGTTTCACAATTAAAGTGAATATCTTTTGGTTTTGGACCAAACAAGACATTTAAAGACATCACCTTGGACTTTGAGAATGTGGGACGGATATTTTTCACTGTTTTCTGACATTTTAGAGACCAAACATCAGTTTAATCGATGGTGAAAATGAATCGCTAGTTGCCCTAAAGTTGACACTTGTCACTTTTAGAAAAGCATGTAGTTGCAGTCAAATCAATAACAGAAATCAACTAGAAAATTCCTAAAGAAATTTTTACAGTGTGGCTTCTACTGCCCGAAGAAATCGCAATATATACACGCGCCAATGTTACCGGTAGTGTCATTCAGGTTCAATTGAGATAGCGCTACTCTCTTTTCTGCATTTTAGATTCATACTCTTGGATTGAATCTTGTATTTGTGGGGCTTTTATTTTGAAAGGGTGGGACTGGGTGGGTGAGAGAGGGGGAGAGGAGACAGAATCATAATGTTTGACACTGAAATGAGAGGCTTCATCACAAGCATTCCAGTTAGAATTCATTATGTGGGGCTTTTAATTTGAAATGGGGGTGAGAGGGGAAAATCCTCTAAAAATATCTAAGACCTGAATGACTATGATAGAGAGGGAGAGAGAGACAGACAGAGAGGAGAGAGAGACAG